GGTACGATCTTTGGTACAATTACTGACGACCAGTAGTGACAAAATGAAGTTTCAACCTGCCGTCGCCATGGGAAAATACAAGTAGAACCTGTGTCAAGTTCTTGAATGTTTAAAACACTCTCCACTTCCTCGTCTCCATCCACTCTAAAATTGTACCCAGTAATCTCCTCTTCGACATTTTCAGGATCACTGTCTGCATGTCGACTTCTTTGTTCTCGCTCGTTTCACCTTCAGACGAGACCGAACTGACTTTTTGCGCAGATATCTTTGGCTGTCGCTGGTAAATCATCTTTAACGTTTACATCTAGTTAACCACAAGCTTTTATTGTATCTGGTGGCTTCCAAAGAAGCCGTCAAATTTATTTGAGTTTCGTTGTTGTGCTCAAAGTTAATCTGTTAAGCTAGTGGCGTGATCTTTCTGCGTTCATGAACCAGTCTTCGAGTCGGTCACATATTTTTCGACTGTTTTCGTTTCAAAAAAGGTTCTTGAAGTGTAGCAATGTTTTCCTAGAAAATAGGCCATCAGGAAAAATATGTTCCCAAGTTAATTGAAGTAAAAATGAATATTTGATGTCGTAAACAGAGTAAGGCAACAACAAATGGTCAGTAAAGACAAATTATCCTACAGCTAATGTAACTATCATCATCATCATTAGGTCGAGCTTGTTCGGTATTCCATGACACGCTCCCTCCACCTTTCTCTGTCTTCCATTGCAATTGGTAGATCTTTAATTCTGCGTCCTGTGTCATCCATCAGTTGCTCAATGTAGGTCTTTTTTCGGGCGTCCTCTCGGCTGATGTCCATGTGTTGGCTTCCAGAGTAATAATCCCCTGCTAGTTCTTCTTTACTGCGCCAACAATGTCCTGCGAATCTCATCCTTTGTTGCTGTAGCGATTTACTGATTGGCGGGATGTGGCCGTAGAGCTCTGTTTAAGGCAGCGCGTAGCATTCTAGTGTATGCTCAATCGATTTTCTTTTCCAGATGTGTTGTTAAGGTCCAGGAGACTGAACCATATAAAAGGACAGTTTCCACTGCTGCTCGAAAGAAGTTTCTCTTCAGGTTGTCTGGGAGGTTTGATTTCCATATCTTGTCAAGTTCATTTAGAGCATCCCACGCCTTTCCTAGTCTGATGTTAACATCATGTTCGGTAGAGGCGATGTAGCTTCCCAGGTATTTAAAATCTTCCACTTGCTTTATCTTCTCACCATTGAGACTCTTCATCCCTTCTGACTGATCTTGATTGAAGCAGATGAACTCTGTTTTTATCTGCATCGAGGTAGAGCCCTATCTCCTTTGCTGTTCTCTCAATGCTGTGCAGCAGGAATGTAGCATCTTTTAGGACGTAAGCAAGCACTGCTGAGTCGTCAGCATAGTCTGCATCTAAAAAAAGATAAAAGAAGGTAAAAAAAAAAAAAAAGAAGGTAAAAAAAAAGAAAAAAAAGGTAAAAAATAAAGGTAAAGAAAAAAGGTACAAGGAGCATATCGTCAAAAACGAAAGAAAATACAAAATTTTATGAAAGGAAAATTTATATGTACAATATCATCCATTGCGTGGCTGATAAGTGTACATCTGCTTTACACAAAGCGTTAACTATGATCACAGGAGGTAACCATTTCTGAGAAATTGTATTTTCCTTTGAATTGATAACGATTGCCGCTGTGGAAAGCTAGGAAATGTTGCTACTCGATTGACTAATATTTATATCTAGCTTTTGCATTCAGATTTTGTGGGCCTTTTTTTTTTTCAGTCGGGTATTGTATATCTCTGTCATTTCCTCAAGCTTTCCTTCCCCACTACTCAATAATCAATTTCTGTGAAATTTTGGAAAAAAAAATGGATTGCTTTAAGATTCATAATTTGCTTTGCGCCTCCATCGATTCAATTTTACTTGGGGGAACTGGACACGTTTCTCCCTTTTTGTGTTTAGTGTTTAAGGCAGTGGATATAGCTCGTGAAAAAAAAGCTCGTCATTGGGAATCGGCATATACATTCAGTGAAAGAGGACGATAACCATGGCGGTAAGCGTTCAGTTGTTGCAATTAATGTACACAGAGAAAAAAAGTAACTTTGATAACTGCAGTTGAGATAACATTTTTTTCCATAAATGACACGTGCTAATTTTTCAAGAGACTGTATCTGTAATGGTGTATGTATCCCTCACTCAGTCACACTGAAGGCACCTTCTTTCGCGCAAGTCTAACGAAAGGAAACTAGTTAGCGAAGTGACAACAATAGGAGCGATGTACCTTGGAAATAGTGTTTCCATTGTTCGTATTTGTTGTTTATCAGTTGCATATGTGATAATTTTGAATAGCTTGAACCATGAAAAAATGTTCGTACGGTGGCGAATACGAAAGGATGAGCAGAAACCTTCCTGCAGCAGTATTGCATTTTTGATCAATCAGGAGACAGTCCTCTTTCAGCTCTCTTGTTTTGTCTGTTTGCCGGTTTTCTTTACCTTTTATCGCTATTTTGATTTGCAGTCGTGGAGTGAATACCAGACTGAAAGTGAAGAAGAAGCTTTAGCCAAGGCAATGGAACTTTCGCTTATGGAAGATAAAAAATCGTCAAGAAAAGCGGTGAGCACAACTGTTGAACATGCAGTATTACTTCCACATTATTTTATAGGCCAAAGTTCACTCTACTATCTTTAGGGTTGTTCCCTGCATTTTGTGAAATGGTGCAAAGTTAATTGTTATAGGAAAGATGTGCCGGAGTTATTTACCTAAACGAATGTCAAATTTTTACTGACCAGCCTAAATAAGGTTTTGCGGTTGCAAAACTTGATGTTTAGGGGTATTGGCAGAATTGATCATTAGGGCTATCCTTATCCACGGTCTTATTTAAAACTGCAAAAGGAGAAACACCATTTGTCATGCTGAGGGGGCCAGAGTGCAGATGGATTAAGGCTCCCCTAGGTATATCACCGCCTTAAATTTATTTATTTTTAATCAATCTTTGAGTCTTGAGTTACCAAAGGCTGTTGAAGATCAGAGGGATAATACTTGTGTGGCTGTGTTTGTGTTGACAGGAGTTCCCGATTCAGATCGGTGAAGAGACACCAGATGGCAGACTATCATCGAGAAAAGCCCCCTCGCCATCATCCTCTACTTATCACAGACAAGGCTGTAAGCTCAGAGGCGATACAATTTATCTGCTTTCCAAGGCTGAGAGAAAGAGGGTTGAAACTGAATCCTCTGTTTTGGTTTTTATCTTTCAGTTTCATTTCACAGTAAAAAAAAAATACGAATTTACTCAACTGCTTGTGATTGGAAACATGTTCAAAGTTGTTGCAATGATAGATCTATGTCATAAGAATCGTAAAACAGTTTGGACAAAAGTGCAGTGGAGGATATGTTTTTGTTTCCTTATGATTACAGACAGGACGATACAAAGTCTTATGACCAATTAATTATAAAAATTGCAATTTCCGAGAAAAAAGGAGTAGCCAATTTTATTTGGTTGATTTAAACTACATCTTTGAATGTGACTGGTTGATTTAAAATACAACTTTGAAAGTAATTGGTTGAGTTAAACTACAACTTTGAATGTGATTCGCCTATCGCCTATCGCCTATCGCCTATCGAACTGTCCGTTAACAAACTGTCCGATAACAAATTGAATCTGGTGACTTCTATAGAAGTCGTTAACATTATTTGAGTTTCGTTGCTGTGCTCATTGTTTCCCGAGCCACTCGCTGCTACACTAGTACTAGCGAATTTCTCAAGAGAAAAGGAATTTCATGCTGTAGATACCATGTAATTTGATCTTCGCTATTTAAAAGTCGTTTGAAATAAGTATGACGCTGACCGCGTGTTAAAATTCCATAGAGTAGCCCAAAGTTCAATACTTTAAACTAATTTGAATGTGGGTTCAGACCATCAAGTTTCCACTGCTTTTCGACTAACTCCATTTTGTGTTCAATGCATTCTTGAATAATTTAATGTTTCTAATTTTCTGTCTTTAGTGTATAGCAGAGGAGAGAGTTTGGTATCGGGAGTTGATCCTCACAGTGGCCTTGGTCAGAAAATGGCGGTAGGCTTGAACTGGCTATAACTTGTTTCATTCGAAGAAATTTTTGCTTGTGGCAGAAAAAAAATATCTGGAATTTCAAAAAGCAGTTTCGAATCTCTAGTAAGGCAAAGCGATATGGGAATTTTATGAAGCGGTTGTGTCTTTGTGATCCCTCAGTGTGGTTGACTGGTAATGAAAGCTGAAAAACCAATAATTGTTAGTTCTTACGTGTGCTGAAAGAATGAATATCAAGCCATCCTCAGTCTTCCGGCATTCTTAGCGTCACAAGAAGCAGTCTTGGCGTTATGATATATGTGTCTCGTTCAGTTGATTATCATCAGTTTCTTTTTTGGTATGATCCAGCTATTTTCAACGTCAGCCGTTTATTTGTATATCCTTTTTCGATGTTTGATAAAATGTCGTGGACAGGAATACCTGAGAAATAAGTTTCTTTATATTGAATTGTTTACGCTTTGTACCTACTGACAGGAATTCCAGAAAGAGAGCGGTGAACTGAGAACAGGTAGGACACCTTTATCGCCCCGACATAGCTCGTCATTGTCACAGTCACGTGGAAGGAAGACCCAGCAAATGCAAAGGGATCCCACAAGTATTCAAAGTAATTTTATCAGCTTGATTTTATTGAGAACTATGTTTACCAAAACTGGTTGGGTTGACAGTTACTATCATATTCTAAACTAGATGGAAGCTTTTATTGTGGTGGAAATCTTTGGGTAACCTGTGGGAAAGTTTTTCTTCACACTAAAAGTCTAAGTGTGCGGACTGGAATTGAATCGTTGCAATATTGCCCTCTGTCATAGTGACAGTTAAAAGTCAATTTTCCTTTCATCATTCTGAGATGTGGGCATGAATTTTTCCCTAACTTTTAAAAGTTAACTTTATGTCCCAGCCGTAATTTTTATGAAAATGCATTCAGTCACGTCATGGCAATTGATTGTACAGTAGGTTAGCAACACATTCCAATGGCGAGACAAACTAACTTTATTCATTCCCTAGGGGCTGTTTCCCAGAGGACTGGTGATAAAACTGCAAGAGCGATCCCTCTCTGTCTTCCTAACAATTATCAGTGGGATTCTAAGGCTCGTCAATGTGTTAAAACCAATGAAATTCGTTCTTCATTGTGTGTGGTTGAAGAGGCACTTGAGGAGCTGAGGACAGTCAGAGGTATAGGCCCATGCTTTGTCCTGAGAACAGGAAATAAAAAATTATGTGTAGTAGATTTCCAGTTCAGATACACTGTTGTCATGCGTAATGAAATTAATGATGGCCAGCGTCATGTAGACGACTTTCATAACTTTGTGGCCTAACTAGTGCTATCCTTCCATGTGAATGTAAGCCAGGCCAGGCCTCGTCACTATGAATGGAATGAATTTAGTACCAGTTTAAATTAAGATTCAAGGGGCTTACTCAAATGAAAGAGGTCTATTTTATTAAGTAAAGTAATACTGTAAGCTCAGTAGGTCGCTAGTTCTTTAAAAAATCAATCACAAAACCTCACGACTAAACGAAAAAAAAAAAAAAAAAAAAAAAAACGAAAAACGTAACGAAAGGAAAAGGAGAAAATACACAAAAACTGTTGAGAGGTTTACCATTGACTTGCATGAAGACTTAAAGCGAATCAGGCTGCGCCCTATTTGAATTTTTAAGGGAACAATTTCACTGTTATGACAGAAAGTCTAGAAAAAAAGTTGAAACAAGAGCTACCATGTGCGTGTCTGTATATTGTTTATTTCACTTCAATCTGAATTTGAAGCCTAATGTGGTTTAGTAAGTTTTGATAGACGGCAATCAAATTAATCTTTTCACCTTGCTCTGTATAACAGGCCCAGTGTGCACCGTTGCTGTCGCTGGTCCTTTACGGAAAGGAAAGTCTTACATTTTGAGTGAGGCTTTTGATCAACCAGAGGTATTCCCTCTTGGACACGAATTTGATCCGGAGACCATGGGAATCTGGATGTGGATCGTGCCAGAGAAATATAAGGTGCGAAACTTAGCATTGAGAAATTTATTTACTATAAGCCACAGTATATAAGAGATCGAATATCCTGTACAGTATATCAAATGAAGTGACTCACAAGTCTATTTTGCTTGAATACGAGTCATATTTTTCCTTGTAAGCACCCTTGATGTTCATAAGGTGGAAGATCAGACGTTTTATTTTTTTTTTTTTTATCTGCAATGATGACAATTAGCATTCAGCGCGTATTAGCAAAGTTGTTATCTTTTTCTCGTGACTGTGTGTACGATAAACCTGTTGAAAAGTCCGAAAGCTCTGAAACATTAAAGAGTGCTACAGATTAAGGTGATATATGGCATCACTCCCTTTCTCTCCTTTTTAAGAATTGATATACAACTGTTCTCGATAGAAATGTGGAGTGAAAGTGATATCTAAAATACTTTAAATCTGATTTAAAGTATTTTAGATATCACTTTCACTCCACGAGAACAGTTGTATATCAATTCTAAAAAAGGAGAGAAAGGGAGTGATGCCATATATCACCTTAATCTGTAGCACTCTTTAATGTTTCAGCTCTGTGTTTTATTACTTCGACGGTTCCGCTAGCGTGTTTCAAATAACAAAAATGGGCAAAATGAATGACTGCATTTTTCGGTTGCGTCACGGTAAAATTTTACCCGATCCTCCTATAAGGCTATGTGATATTCTCATGACCCTCTTCATCTTAAATGGCTGTAAATATTCTATATGCCCCCTTTATACTCATTTGGTGACTACTGATCCTCAATCCGTTCCCACTGAAAACCGTGTGATACCCAAAAATTCAGCACCCATCCCCCGTGCGAAATAAATGAATAATGAATAGTGACTGGTCTCTTACCTGATTTAGGACTTAAAAGGCCAGGAAGTCACAGTGGTGCTGTTGGATTCAGAGGGTGTTGACGCTGCTTTCAGTGAAGGTCGTGACGACAATCAGATATTTACTTTAACCGTTCTGTTGGCTTCCGTGCTCATTTATAACTCAAGTGGTGTTCCCACAAGGAGTGATCTCGATAGTCTGCAGTATCCTTACCATATCAAGCATACTAGTTTGTTGTAACATGGCCTCAACGGTTCCTATTAGTATGCGCTCTTCACGGTCCTTTTTTCTCTCGTCCATAACCTAAGGATCAATGGGTGTTAATAAATACATGGTAATCCTGTTAGCGAAAGAATTGTTAACAGTGCACGACTCATGGAAGCACGGGTTCGGATCTTGAATTTTTTTCAGGTTTCCTTTCAGCAATTGTTTTAATGGAAGCTTATTTGCCAAGACTGATTTTCACTCTGCATATCAAATGATATCATAAATTTCGATTCATTACATGAATAATAGAGGAATAATAATAAAGGAATACTTGACGCAAGACGAAACGTAGAGATGAAGAGATTGAAAGGTGAAAATGTTCAAATTTTGATTTGGGCTCTTTACGGATTACGACAAATAAAATATGACTTTGATTACTTCAGTCCCAATCAATACTCCTGGATTTTCTTTAAAGTCAATTTAGCTTTATCTCAAAGCTGTCTGAACGAATCCATGCAAGATCTAACTGGAAAGAGACTGATAAGAAAAAAGAAGAAGAGTTCTTACACAGAACGTTTCCTTTCTTTATTTGGTTGCTGAGAGATGTAGCGCTCTCCATTCCACGCGACTGTAGAGACATCAAGGATTACTTCTTGAAAAAGGTTAAAATCCAAAACAAGGTCAAGACGCCGTCTGAAAAGGTCGCAAATGGAGGGGGATACTAAAGCCAAATAAATGATTTTTTACACAGGTCTTCCGTCAGGACGCTTCCCGAAGTAGGAGTGAAAATGGTGATTATGTACCAGATGTAGCCAAGGACATCTTGAGGTTCTTTCCTGGTTTTGAAGCGTTTGCCCTATCCCCTCCCTCAACTGATCTAAATGTGTTAAAAAATCTTAACACGAAGAAGGATCAATTACAGCCTCAATTTTTGAGTGAATTAGAGCAGATTAAGAAGAGGATAAAGTCCATGCTGGTCCCAAAACACAGCTGCACTGAAGGAGAGCTTATAACTGGGGAAGGTACGTGCTTTCGCCTTAACCCAAATTCTTTTGGTGCCAATAATACCCATTCCTATCCTACCATTACTCCCTTTCACGACGTTATGTAATAATTTAAGAAAAAACCTTGTCAGATTGTGCAAACTTAAAGGAGCATCTCATTACTGAATGCTGAGTACTAAATGTTTTTCATTGCATAGGTCTTGCCGCCCTGATCACCCCATACGTTTATGCCATCAACACTCCTGGTGTTGTTCCAAATGTACAGGACGAGTGGGATCTGCTAGTACAAAACAAGTGCTCAGACACCAGAAAGAAATGTCAACAGAAATATAACGAGCTTATGGCCTTAAAAGCCCTACAACTGCCATGTGATAATGCTGAGATACGTTGGTGTCACAACTCCGCAATGGAGAAAGCTGAAGAACTGTTCAAGGCGGAAATGTCTGGCATTTCAATTACCACGGTGGAGAAGCATCTGAGGCAACTGAAGGTGAAGGTTAAGCAGTAGCTAAGATACTTATTTTCAAAGGCCATTTCTTTTGCGTTCTCCACAAAGATGGTCCGTAAGTCTCTGACTTGAAAGGCTGTTTCCAACAGTAAAATCGTTGCTGAAGGTAGCAAGCTGATACAACATCAGTAATTGATAGTTTACGCAAAGGGACTAGTCTAATGTCATCAGCCGCAGGGACTTGTTGTAGAGACTTTTCTGGCAACCAGTGCTTTTATTCTCCTAGTAAACCGATGGTGAATTTATCATTCACTCGTTAAAGAAAGCAAGATATTAATTTTGTTCAAAAGAAAGAGCTATCCTCTAAGTTTCTTCGCAATTTAATCTCTTTTAGGTTGGTTGATGATATTATCTTCGATTGAATTCTTTTTTCTTTCTATAAATTTCATTCTTAGAGTTTTTTCGAGAAAAGGTTGAACGAATTGAAGACTAAGAATTCAAGGTTAACAAGACAATTTTGTGATGATCTCCTGTTACAACTAAAAACAAAACACCTAGATCCGGTCATTGAGCAGCTTCAAGGAAGAGAAGATTCGAAATTATCATTCGATGACATCTTGAGCGTTTACAGGCATATCAAAGATGACTATGAGGCAGAAGCAAGGGGTGCTAAAGATGCCATTGCTGAGGCGTTCTCCGACTTTCATCGCGTAAGACGTCATAATTGTATTCTGATCGTTCTCCATATATTTAAGATTGATCCTGTGTTTATATGTTAACAGAGAAATTTCCTCTAGTCACCAGTTATTTTCAAATGGATGGGCTTGGCAAATGATGTCCTGAACATGTTTGGCTTGTGATTAAAATTCCTTAGAAATTCTCACGATATTTCCATACTTACAGATACTAGCTGAGGATGCAAAACACAACCGTGATAAGCTGAAACAACTGAAAGATTTTGACCAAAGAGCTGCAAAGGAAATAGTAGCAGAAGCTTTCATAGAGCGAAAAAGGAGACAGGTTGAGGTACGTTATACACACACGTTTGTATTATGACATTGTCGTGGGAGAAAATTTGAAATGTAGCGGTGAAGGGGGTTGGATACATACATACAAAAGCGGTACGTTTCCATGACACTAAAATCTGAATAGGTACCAATCTTGCTTTTAAGTTTATTCTTGAGGTCTGCCGGTTTGCCTTGTCGTAGTGTATTCATGACTCGAAAGATAAGACATCCAAAACTGCCTACTTTGTGCTATGTTTTTCAGGAAGACAAAGCTGGTTTACTGCAAGAAAATCGAACAATGGAAAAGGAGGTATTCATCTTCGCTACATTTTCTAGTTCCCTTGTGGAAGATGGAAGAAAAAAAACAATGTCAAAACCTACAAAATAATGCACCCTCCCCATTTTCACTTTCAATTTTGGATAATAACAACATACCTTTTCCTCACTAATGAAATAGTCTCACTTTATCTTTGCATAGTAATGAAGGGGTGAATTGCGCACAGAGCAAAGTTTTTCAACCCTTTTAAGTTAAGCTATATTTTTTTGTTGTTGTTGTTCTCGTTGTGCACTCAGAAATACGATATTCTTTGTTTTTGTTCTGTTAAGACGCAGATGCTGATTGACAGATCAGAAAAAGAGAGAGCTGGAATGCAAGTGCAAAAGGAAGAAATGATGAAAAAGGAGCGCGAACAATTGCAGAATATGAAGCAGGCAGGCCTGGTAGATGCCCAGGAGCAAAGAGAAGCCTACATCAAAGAAAACCAGGCCATTGGTGAGGAACACATGGAAATGATGAAGAGCATTTTAGAAATGATCGCTGCAAACCAAAGGGAGAACAAGCAGCTTCTTGAACAAATGAAGACACTTTCACCTGAAGAGTTCAAAGAGTCAGTGAAGGAGCTAGAAAGAAGGCAATCAGAAAGTGTAAATGCGCTCCTGATGAAAATGGAAGCTCGTGTGGGTGGCATAAAATCAAGCGGCGGGGAAGACTTTAACACCACAACAAAAGACGAAGAATGTGCTAAAAAGGAGGAGGATTTGCTAGGCATGATGACTTCGAGGGCACAAACCGCTGGGGATCTACACCAAAGGTTGGTAGAAAATGAAAGAGATCAAAGTGATCTCAGAACGGGTGAAATGTTGAAGAAAGTTCTCAAGTTCATCGAAGATGTTGCACCCGTGGTTGGCAAAGTAGCAGCTCTTCATCCAACATGTTCACCTTATGCTATGCCAGTGGCCTCAGCCGTGAAAAGCATCGCCCAAGCTATGCAGTCTCTTGACTGCAGTATCATGTAACTATTGTCTCTAGGAGATTTCTTTTGCGGAAACAGAACGTGGGCTAGAAGCTAAATGTTACGAAACTGTGTTTGGGATTTCATTAAAGTAACCAGTGACCATTATATAGAATTTATAGGGAAGAGAACAGCAGTACGTTCTTTTAGGGTCTTGCAAAAAAAAAAAAATTAATGAAGTAGATTGCGTCTTCTTTCCTGCAAAAACATAAATACATTAAGCCGTGTAACAGCTAACTTTGAGGGTAATCTGCAATCTTGGTATAAGTTCCAAGCGCGCATTACTTTCATTCTTAAAAAAGTAGAATAAAAAGAAAAAAAAGTTTCGAAAACTCTTTGAATCTTTAAAATTCCAGCGTAGCTCTTCAACTCGTTAGTCTTTCATCTGTGCACTTATTTCATTTCTATGGGAAGGGAATATTTTCTTTACCAGATATCTTTTAAGAAGGATTTTCAAATTCTCTCTATTATTTCCCTTGTCTGTTGAAGTTTAAATTCTATTTAGAGAGGAAACTTATGGCTGCCGGTTTGTCTGGCATCTGTGTCACAAACGGCTCTCAAAGTAGCAGATCTCGGCAAAAGCTTATGCAAAACCTCACGATACTCTGTTTCTCTTGGTGCTGAGTTTATGAAAGACTGAAATGTCATGTTAAATCGCTAAGTACGCAATTTGTCAGTTCTGTTCGTACGACTCTATCGGTGACCTGTAAGCACTAAGTAGGGTCCCTCAAAAGGCTAATGATTACAAAAATTCGAATATTTCCCAACTTCATTTTGACATGCAACGCTCAAAAGCAAACGTTGTCAAAAATGTTTAACCACCACGTCAAAACCAGCGAACGAAGGTAAATATAAGATGGTGAGAAAAAGAGGAAAATTAAACACATGAAACGCTTTAACTTCACACAGTTTAATTAGGGGACTTTTTTTTAAAGCCTCTTTTAAACTATATTTTTTATCATAAACTCATCAAATATTCGTTTATCTTATGGCAAGTTTGGCACAACAGCTCTCAAGCCAAGGTGCGATTACTATTAAATGATGTGACATGTGGTAGTAATAATTTACCATATTCAAACAGATGAACCAATCAAACTCACCTTAAGGAATGCTTTGTCCTTGTTTTATTGATAAATCCAAATTTCTCACAATTCTACTTGTCCAGCTGTTATCGACCAAAAATAAACTGAATTGTTCAAATTGATGATAAAAGCACGAAACTTTGCCAAAACTCTTATGACCTTACGACTAACATTTTCTGATACAGGGCCAATCCAAATTAACTTCTGGAGACTAGAACCACGCATGTCAAAAATTCGCTAACATGGAAGCGAGGCTGAGAATCAAAAAATCCTCTTAAACGACATTGCTTGGGGAAATTTGCGACAAGAGCCGTCAAACGTAACCACCGAGTCATTTTCTATCCATTCGTATTCATCTTATGTCATCACGGTACTATCCTCTTTGACATGTATCATAATGTTTGGGTTCCCTGTGGTTAAACATTAAATATACCTGTTTACATTATTTTCTGAATCACGATTGGTAAAACTTGTTTATCTTAGAAACATAAAGCTTATGTCTTTGCTTGATTTGGCATTCTCTTTTGTTACTTTAATAAAATTAACCATCTATTATAAATAAGCTTTGGTGAACAGATTTGGGATGCCCGTGGTAAATTGTTCAGCTACACTTCTCTGAACGGCACTTTAGGTGAAATTTTAAAATGTTTTTCTATCTAACCAAAATTCAACAAACGATTGATGCAATGCATAATTCTTAGTCGACCTGCTCTAGTCGTTAGTGAAACCGTTGTAAATATTTATGGCTGTAAGAAGTTGCCGCCACAGTTGCACAAACCAGTGTATGCCAAAGTAGCCTTTAAGCACTTGCATCGTCTTCTACATGAGGCTCTGCATCCGCATCGAATGAGTTGGTGACAAGATTCCTTTGTTTGCGGTAGAGATTTCCAGAATGGTGACCATGAGTTGTTGAGCTGCTGCTTAAAGGCTTTAACACAGTGGCACCAGCGATTCTTGAAGTAGCAGCTTGTGATAAGACAAGAAAAGGACAAATTCTAATCGACACTGATTCCGGGATTTACAAAAAGATAAGCCATAATCATGAAATCAAAGCTAGATAAAGAATTCCAAGTAGGAAAATTACAGAGTGAAATAGGAGATACTGCAGTACGGTATGTATTTTGTACTCTCTACTTTCAATAAGAGTCGCAAATGAGCGTTTTATAGGAAGATTGTTAGAAACTCGTGCAAAAAAAAACATTTTCTCGAAATGAAAGTCGCTATCAAATCATGGAATGATATTCCGAATATTCTGAGTTTATCATCTGGTTTCGAGTGCATGTGACAGTGAAGTCTAACGAAATCGCAGCGCCCATTTGAATACTTTAAATCTTTTATATTTAAACATTTCTAATTTGTTTTGATTCATAATTTAGCAAAAAAAAAGAAAAAAATGGTTTTGAAGACTTTCAATTCCGAGTGCTGACACCGAATGCTTCCAGATTGTTTATGTTGTCATGATACGCAATGTTCTGACGCAATATGTCGCATATTGCATTTTTTTTTTTTGGCCATTAGCTAGTTTCTCTCTTTTTCAATGAGAAACATTAAACAGAATCAGAGCCACAAAGGACAATCAACCCAAAACTATTGCAAACCACAGACACAATGAGGTACTGGGCAAACCTTTTTGAAGATTCCTCCGTAAAATTCAACCGTTGACGAACAGTTCGGAAGATTAGCTTTGGTAAATGCAATATACTAAATGTATAAGTATTCAAAAGACCTTTTCGTTAGGAGAAATTGGTGTTACCAATGCAACGATACTTTGAGAATACAACTTTTTGCTGTTTCAAACCTCATCCTATTAAACTCGACCCAATCTTCTGGTAAGCCATGGCGTCTAATAGTTTGATCGTGGGTTACTTTGATTGGATGTTAATCTTGAGAGTTTGGAATTATTTATCCTAATTAAGAAGCTGGGCGCTACCGTGGTCGTTACTTTCATGACAGTTACCCTCAAACTGCCAGTTTATGCAGGATAAGCCATTGCCATTTTAAATATTCGTTTCCCAATGCCCAACCGACTTATTATTTTGAAAAAGCAAAATGATTAGTGCAAACCTGCAGTGCATATCTCGATGCAAGTTATCATTGTTTCCTTTCTTGCCTTTTAGGTATATAGGTATATACCACCCAGATGTATGTAGAGACTCTACACAAATGCGTTGGAACTTCATCTGTCGAATTGTTTGTTGTCTGGTGGTCGGTGACCTAGTTATAGTTGAAGTAAATACCTTTTCATCGACTCTACTTGAAGCACTCCTTGACTGCCGACTCAAACTGTTGCTAGTCACGGAACACGAACATCGTGACCACTGGACAAGTCGCTCGGCTCACGGTAAGGGAACCAGTACTGAATATGAGCTGTCTTTCAGTTTCTTTCCACTGACAAAAGGCGTTTACTTAAATGTGAGTGATAGCAAAGTGTACAAAGTAATTTTTGTGAAAGATTTCTGCCACAGAAGTCAAACAGGATAAAAATAACCGAGGAAAAGTGGGGTTTGATATTAGTTTATCAACAAGTATTTGAATCAGCCACGAATTCCGGGAAAAAGAGAAAATGGAATATTTTTATTACTTTCCAGCCTACCACAGTTAAATAAATATTAGTAAATAATCTGTTTCTGAAAGGTAACTTTGAGTTATCACTTTGCTTTCCTTCGCCGTAACAGATATGGAGAATCTATTTTCGCTTTCAATTTTCCTTCCGGTCTCTTCATTTCTTCGAGCGGTGGTTTGTTTGTTTGGTTGATCGGTATTATCTGTAGGCTCTGAATCGTCACTTATACAATGACAGGGTTCTTGGAACAACACCTCTGTGGTATCGAGAGTATCAGTCTCGAATAGAGCTAAAGTAAAATGAACCACAACGCCCTGCTTGTAGTAAAAACCTTGCTTTTTTTAATAATAATAATCTCTCTCTCTAGTCACGTGATCCAACATGATTGACGTACGACATTACATCCCTCCCTTTTTTCCGGATGAAAAGAACACAAGGTGACTAACTGTATTTTAAGTGATAAACGTCCTCAAATTCTAAACAAAACAATGTACATCGTTTTGTAATCAAAGTTCAATAATCAACATTCAAACTGAATTTAAACTGAGATCTCTTTTCCTTCAAACACTTCATATTATGTCAACGTTCTCAGAGAATCAGAAAAGTTCCTTTTCCAGCCTATTTCTCGTAGACGATTTGTACATAGTCTGAAAACCTGACAGGAGGTTTGATCTGTCGTTTCGATCGTCTCGGCAAGGCGTCAGCTTTCATTTTGGATGGACATTGTGTCTTTTCTTCATCTTTCCTTCCACCATTCTCTTGGCAGGGTGCAAGATGTTTCGGAATAACTTTGAACTGCGATGAATTCCTCGTAACAGTGTGTGAACCATCACTCGCTGTGACCATGGTGCCTTTCTGTTCCTCCACAATGAATGGTTTTGGATTGTATGGAGTGCTGAGCTTGTTTTGTTTGGGTTGTCTAATGAGTACAACTTCTCCTGGCTTAATCTCTCGTTCTTGAGCATGCGCTTTGAGGTCAGCATAGACCTTCATTTTCTGCTTTTGCAGAGCATCTCTCTGGGCGACGCTAGCGGATGGATCTTGAAGTGTATATCGCGGCAGCTTGTGTTGGGTGATTGGTGACTCTGGTAGTGTGGTCTTGAGTTTTCTGCTGTTTAAGGCTTCACTTGGAGACACATTGATAGTGGAGTGGGGTGTTGCACGATATTGCCGTAAGAACTTGTACAACTCTTGCTTCCAATTTTTGCCTTCTAGGTGAGCAATTCTGATAGACTTTTGGAGGGTCTGAACCAGTCGTTCCGCTTCTCCATTTGCTCTTGGCCAATACGGGGTTATCCTTCTATGCTTGAATCCTAAGTAGTCAGAAAAGTTCTTAAATTCATGACCATTAAACGGTGGACCATTGTCACTTTTCAGGACATCAGGAATACCTTGTCTTGAGAATATTGCATCAAGTTTAGGGATCACAACTCTTGCTGATGTTGAGGTAAGTATTTCTACTTCCGGAAAACGGCTGAATTCATCTGTTACAACCATGATGTAATCACCAGAGGGGAACGGTCCAGCAAAATCCACTGCGACTTCTCTCCAAGGTCCGCTAGGGAGTGGCGTCATTCGAAGGGGTTCAATCGGTGGTGACTTGGTCGATGCAGCTTGACATGAAAGACAGCTTTTGACCTTCTCTTCTGTTAGGTTGTCGATTCCGGGGAACCACACTTTGTCTCGGATGAGTTGCTTTGTTTTGACAATCCCCTGGTGACCACCATGTGCCAGGTCTACTGCTTTACTTGAGAGTAAATGGTATCACAATTCTGTTTCTTCTCAATACTAGTCCATTGAACACTGATAATTCTTCCTTGAGCTTCTTGTATTTCTGTACGTCTGGGACATTCCATTGGCCAGTTTCCACAGCCTTGACGACAGCTTGCATTTCTGCATCATTTCTGGTTTCGTGTTTTATTTCTTCGAGCGTCATTGCTCTTGGTACAGCATTAGAGCATACATAGTTGGCATAATCTTCAGCCAAATTTTGTTCTTCTGGTGCTGTGGGACACGGATGTCGGCTCATGTAATCAGCAGGGTTTTCGGCATCTCTTCCAGGCCGATAGATCAGCTGACAGTCGTAGGGCATGAGTCGAAGTTTCCACCTGTCCATTCTTGGGGAAGTTTGCTTGTGGTTCTTAAAGATGCCTATGAGAGGTTTATGATCAGTAATAACAGAAAACTGGGCACCATAAACATACAGATGAAAATGTTCCACTCCCATACTACGGCAAGCATCTCTCTCTCTGTTTGGGAGTAGCGACTTTCCACATCACTCAAAGCACGGCTTGCATAACTAAGAATTTTGCCTTCTTGTATTAACAGTCCACCAAGACCAGTTGGACTCGCATCGACAATGATTTCGGTCTTCTTTCTTGGATCAAAATAGGACATAACTTGATCCCCAGCGAGGGCTTCTTTCAGCTTGTCCAATGCCTTTTGTTCTTCTTGCTCCCATTTCCATGGGGTGACCTGTCGGGTCAGCAGGCGCAAAGGGGTCGTGATTGTGGCATAGTCTGGTATGAATCGGGAGACGTACTGTGCCATACCAAGAAAAGACTTCAGTTCACTATGGTTCCGAGGAGATTGTGCCTCGTGGATTGCTTTAACTTTCTTTGGATCAGGTCTAACACCGACAGAGCTGAAAATGTGACCATAGAACTTGATTTCAGTTTTGGAAAACGCACACTTGTCTTTGTTGAGACGGAGGTTATTTTCTTTAAGCCTCTGGAGAACACCACGGAGATTCTTGTTGTGTTCTTCCTGGTCTTTCCAAATACTATGATGTCATCTGAGATGTTTTTACATCCTGGGAGGCCAGAAAGGAGTTCCCTGATCTTTTCCTGGAAAATTTCGGACGCTGCATTAATTCCAAAAGGCAAACGTTTGTATCTTCTTAGGCCAGCATGTGTACTGAAGGTTGTGACATAACGACTTTCAGGTGATAACTCAAGCTGGTGGTATCCTGAGGACAGATCTAATGTACTGAAAAGCGTTGCACCATTCAAATCAGCAACAAGGTCATCAATGGTTGGCATGAGATGCTTTTCCCGCTTAATTGCTTGGTTTGCCTCACGCATATCAACACAGATTCGAACTTCTCCGGATTTCTTGGGGACGACAACAATTGGACTGATCCAGGGTGTGGGCCCTTCAACTTTCTCGATGATGTCGAGTTTCTCAAGTCTCTCAAGCTCTTTTTCGACATCGTCTCTAACATGAAATGGAATTCGTCTGTGGGGTTGCTGTCGGGGTGTAACATCGGGGTCAATGTGTAACTTCACTTGTTTGTTTGGTACTTTCCTATGCCTCCAAACAGTGATTTGAACTCTTCTTTTAGAGACTCCGGGTCGTCTTTGTTTCTTTCAGTGACGGTGGCAGTATTAATAGAAACCGCAATCAGACCTAGTTTCTTTGCAGTGTGATGGCTGAGAAGATTTCCGTTTTCTCCTTTAACAACAGTCAGCTGAGCGGAGGTGCTCGCGTTACTGGATTTCACGGTTGCAGTGAGGATTCCCAGGGTAGGAAGAGGGACTTTAGCGAGCTGGAACTGCACGTCAGAATAATATGTTCTTTAATTTCTTTGTCAACATCGCTGAATTCGCAGGTTTTCGCGAGTTGGCGAAGCCTGGTGTGAAAAACTATCAAGCGACTCACCCTCTTTCTGCTTCGTCTGGCGAAAATTATATACTTCATATGTGGTGTTGACTTGTGGGGAGAAATACTCGTTAAGTTTCGCGACCGCCGTGTCATAGTCGCCGTCTTCGCCAGTGTTTGGTAAGGTGTCGAATATTTCGTCTACGTCGGTGCCGGCATAATGCAGCAACAAAGCCCGTTTCCTTTTCGCAGCTGTGATGTTCATTCCGATAAGCATTCGTTCTAAGCGTCCTAGCCATCTTTTCCATCGTGGACCTGCACTGCCATCGACATGGACGTCGAACGGTGGAAAACTTGGTAGCGAAACCGCCATGAGGTCTCACAGAGTTGAGCGCGTCGCAAACAGCACGTGCTTTCAAGAAAAATTTACACAGCGAACTCCTCAATGAAAACCGGTGTTGATGTGAATATTGACTGTGGGATTCATGAATTTTAGAATCCTCGTCGCCAGATGTGGTATCGAGAGTATCAGTCTCGAATAGAGCTAAAGTAAAATGAACCACAACGCCCTGCTTGTAGTAAAAACCTTGCTTTTTTTAATAATAATAATCTCTCTCTCTAGTCACGTGATCCAACATGATTGACGTACGACATTACAACCTCAAGAATTATTTTCTCTAAAACTGACTTTTGATCTCAAAACTAGTCAATCCGCGAAGCCGTGCCACAAGTGTTCGTGTTTGTAACGAGGTCGATTGAAGTGCAGTTTCTTATTGCGTTATGGTAAATATTACACCAGACTGTGCCACAGGAGAGAACCTTGAATGATTTTCAAAGTGTGATATTTAGTTATTAGGGAAAATTTGCATAACTCTGCGTGGGGTAATGTGCATCAAAACTTCATCCGTTTGAAGTTTTTGTGTCGGCCAGCGTTTTTATTTTCTTGAATGTAAGTTCTAATCAAGATTAGAATCGTATAAAGAAGGTATTCAAGCGACTACTGACGGAGAAAAGCGGGGTTATCGCCAGTACACGAGCTTCGCCGCAGAGAGACACTTCAGGAGCTCGGCTCCGGGTAATCTGACAATTTTATCTTTCAGTTTCATTTCACAGTGAAAAAATAAGTATTTACTCAACTGCTTGTGATGGGAAACATGTACTAAGCTGTTGCAATGATAGATCTATGTCATAATTAAGAATCCTCAAACAGTTTGACCATAAGTGCAGTGGAGGATATGTTTCTGTTTCTTTTATAATTTTGTGCAGGAGGGTACGCCGCCATGATTCTCGGAAAAGGAGCGAGATGAAACACTTTGCTATCATTCAACCGACAATTGTGTTATATCAAAGGCAATCCTTAATTGAAATTTTAAATTTAAGTTTTTAAGCAGGATAATTCAAATTAAGTTGACTTCTAACCAGTCGACCGTGTGGCTTCAAGAATAAGATCGCAACATTAACTTGCCCATCGGATAATGTTATTGCATCGTGAGACAAACGATGTATTTTTGTGATTCACCTCGATGAACAGCCGCAGTCTTATTCAGTGTGTCAGTTCTTAGTTATTTCTTATCTGTTCTAAGCGTTACGAAATATAACAAATCCGCTTTGCAATGTAATTCATACTCAGTCTGATGCACCTCCGTTTCTCATAAATACAAATATTGCTGTCATTTCCTCAAGCTTTCCTTCACCACTACCTAATAGTCAATTTCTGTGAAATTTTAAAAAAAGAAATTTGATTTCTTTAAATACTGTTTTCAGCAAAAAGAGGGCATCGGCGTAATTACATGTTTAATTCACTGCAAACATCGACATCGCAAACAAATATCACGAGTATAATTACAGACCGAATCGGATGACACGAAGTCTTATAACCAATTAATCATGAAAATTACAATTTCCGAATAAAAAAGAGTAGCAAAGTTTTTCTTTCACGTGCTATTTAGTTGATGTTAACCACAACTTTGAATGTGATTGACCGATTGAACTGTCCGATAACAACCTTTCCGATAACAAATTGCATCTAGTGGCTTTCAGAGAAGCCGTCAACGTTAATTGAGTTTCGTTGTGTGCTCATGGTTTCCCGTGAAATGCATGGTTCACAAACCAAGCCACTCGCCGCTTCACTCGCGAATTTCTCAAGAGAAAGGGAACTTCATGCTGTAGATACCATGTGATTTGATCTCCGTTATTTAAGAGTCGTTTGAAATAAGAGGTTTGCTGACTGCGTTAAAATTCCATTGAGTAGCCCAACTTTCAAAACTTTAAACTGATTTGATTAGGTTCAGACCATCAAGTTTCCACTGCTTTTCGACTGACTCAATTTTGTGTTTAATGCATTCTTGAATGATTAAACGTTTCTAATTTTCTGCCTTTAGTGTATAGCAGAGGAGAGAGTTTGGTATCGAGAGTTGATCCTCCCAGTGGCCTTGGTCAAAAAATGGCGGTAAGCTTGAACTGACTACAATTTGTTTCATTTGAAGAAATTTTTGCTTGTGGCAGAAAAACAATTTCTGTAATTTCAAAAAGCAGTTTCGAATCTCTAGTAAGGCATAGCGATATGGGAATTTTATGAAGGGGTTGTGTCTTTGTGATCCATCAGTGTGGTTGACTGGTAATGAAAGCTACAAAACCAATAGTTGTTAATTCTTACGTGTGCTGAAAGAATGAACATCAAACCTTCCTCAGTCTTCCGGCATTCTTAGCGTCACAAGAAGCAGTCTTGGTGTTATGATATATGTGTCTCGTTCAGTTAACTATCATCATTTTTTTTGTGTGTGTGTGATCCAGCTATTTTCAACGTCGGCCATTTATTTGTATATCCTTTTTCGATGTTTGATAAAATGTCGTGGACAGAAATACCTGAGAAACAAGTTTCTTTATATTGAATTGTTTACGCTTTGTACCTACTGACAGGAATTCCAGAAAGAGAGCGGTGAACTGAGAACAGGTATGGCACCTTTATCGCCCCGACACTGCTTGTCCAGAGTTCAAAATAATTTTTCAGCTTTTAGCTTGGATTTGTAGGCTTTTGTCTAGGCTCTTTTTTTCCCCAGCTGTCAATAAGAAATTTGCGTGTATTGCTGAAACGGGACCCGTTGCCTAGCAATGACTAAAATCTTCCTGAATCAAAATTTACTCTTTCCATTGAGAAACCTTTCTTGTTTAAGAAATATGTATGTATATGGTGTACATATAGTATACGTTAAATTGCTAAAATAATTTCAGCATTAGAATCTCTTCCGTGTTTGTTCAAGCGTGAAATATACAACTTTGTTCGGACAAATTGTCGCGCTTCTCCATTCACGCTATAGGAAATTCGTACAGTCAAGTACTGACTTCTATTTGAACGAGCGAGAAGGCTTTGCAAACGACACTAAACAGGATTTGGCGGAGAATAAATCTTGACTAAAGGTAGTATGTACGTGCAGAGACACAAACACGGTAATGTGACGGTGTGGTCACAAACTTGCATGTTTCACGCTTGAGCTGAATACTGTGGACTAAAATACCCTCTGTTGTACGCTTCAAATTTCGAAACTTTATACTCATTTACGTTTCCAAAAAGCTTTTGAAACATTTCTTGGCTACTTTCCTACCTGATATGAAATGTTCACCATAACATGACGGCGACTTTTACTTCAGTTAGAAGATCGGTAAGCAAAATAATTTCTATAAAATTTTAGTTCTTCGGTGAAAAATCGCTAACAAGTGTGCTAAAAGTTCCGGCTGCCGGCGGCAGCCGACTGTTATTTTGAACCCTGCTTGTCATTGTCACAGTCATGTGGAAGGAAGACCCAGCAATTGCAAAGGGATCACACATGTATTCAATGTAACTTTATGTGCTTGATTTTATTAAAAACTATGTTTAGCAAAACCGGTTAGGTTAACACTTATTATCATATTATAAACTAGATGGAAGCCTGTGTAGTACCACGAATAGTTTTTTCTCGCATTAAAAGTGTAAGTTTGCTGACTGGCATTGAATCGCTGGAATATTGCCCTCTATCATAGTGACGGATGATAGTCAATTTTCCTTTCATCATTCTGAGATGTGGTGTATAAATTTTTTTCTTAACACTCATTAGTTAACTTTGTCTCAAGTGTAATTTTTACGAAAATGCACGAAGTCAAGTCATGGCAATCGATTGTAGAGTAGGTTAGCAATACATTGCAACGGTGAGACAAACTGACTTTATTCATTCCTTAGGGGCTGTTTCGCAGAGGACTGGTGATAAAACTGCAAGAGCGATCCCTCTCTGTCTTCCTAACAATTATCAGTGGGATTCTAAGACTTGTCGATGCGTTAAAACCAATGAAGTTCGTTCTTCATTGTATGTAGTTGAAGAGGCACTTGAGGAGCTGAGGAAAGTCAAAGGTATAGGCCTATGCTTTGTCCTGAGAAACAGGAAATGAAAAATTCTGTGTGGTAGATATCCAGTTCAGATGCACTGTTGTCATGCGTAACAATGAAATAAATGATGGACAGTGTAGACGATTTTCATAACTGTGTAGCCTAACTAGCGCTATCCTTCCATGTACGTGTAAGCCAGGCCTCGTCAACATGAATGGAATGAATTTAGTACCATTTTAAATTGAGACTCAAGGGGCTTACTCAAATGAAAGAGGTCTATTCTATTAAGTAAAGTAATACTGTAAGCTCAGTAGGTCGCCAGTTCCTTAAAAAAATCAATCACAAAACCTCATGACTAAATGAAAATAAGAAAAAACAAACGAGAGAAAGCGAAACGAAACGAAAGGACAAGGAGAAAATACGCAAAAACTGTTGTGAAGTTTATCATTGACTTGCATGAAGATTTGAAGCGCATCAGGCCGCGCTCTATTTGATGATTTAAGGGAACGATTGTACTGCAAAAAGAAGTTGAAACAAGAGCTACCATGTGCGTGTCTGTTTATTGTTTATTTCACTTCAGTGTGAATTTGAAGCCTAATGTGGTATAGTAATGGCAATTAAATTAAAGTTTTCACCTTCCTCTGTATAACAGGCCCAGTGTGCACCGTTGCTGTCTCTGGTCCTTTACGGAAAGGAAAGTCTTACATTTTGAGTGAGGCTTTTGATCAACCAGAGGTATTCCCTCTTGGACACGAATTTGATCCGGAGACCATGGGAATCTGGATATGGATCGTGCCAGAGAAATATAAGGTGTGAAACTTAGACTTTGGAAATTTATTCCATATAAGCCACAGTAATATTTCAAATTATTAAGTGATAGGAGATCGAATCTCCCATATTGTATGTCAAATGACGTGACTCACGATTTTATTTTGCTTAAATACCGCTCATACGTTTGCTTGCAAGCGCCTTTGATATTAATAAGGAGGAAGTATCAGACGTTCTAAGGGGTTTTTGGGATCTGCAATGATGACAATTAGCATATGGCAAGTACTAGCATAGTTATTATCTTATTCTCGTGACTGTGCACGATAGACCTGTTGAAAAGCTAGAAAGCTTTGAAACGTTAAAGCGTGCCACAGATTAATGTGATATATGGCATCGCTCCCTCTCTTTTCCTTTTTTTTTAGAATTGATATACAGACGTGCTCAAAGAAAATGTGGAGTGAAAGTGATATCTAAAAAACTTGAAATCTGATATTTGGCCCCTCCCCCTCGCCCCCGTGTTTTATCCCTCATTGTTACGCAAAACACTCGACGGTTCCGCTTGCGTGTTTCTGATAACAAAAACTAAATGAGCCTCATAGACTGGCGCAAACAGTAGTATTTTCTTGAAATTGCCTAATTGCAAAGTGTATGACAGCATTAGTGTACCGAGAACTCATGGACAGAGCACAGACTGAGTCCCAGCGAGATTTTGGAACCGAGCCAGACTGGTCTTGATCTCTGAAGTTTCTATCATCATAGGAGACAAACATCCTGTGTGGTCGAAAGCGTTCTGCTGAACGAATGTGGGAAATATGGTAAATTTTGAGCTCAGTATTCTGACGCTTTCTAGACTTAAGGCACCGGTCATTACTTATCGCCTGAGGTGGGGGGAAGAAGGATTTTTTATTACCTTACCCGATCCCCCCATAAGGCTATGTGATATTCTCGACCCTCCACATTTTCAACTGCAGTAAATATTCTATATGCCCCCTTTATACTCATTTGGCAACTACTGATCCTCGATCCGTTCCCACTTAAAACCAAGTGATACCTAAAAATTCTTCACCCATCCCCAGGCGAAATAAACGAATAATGAATAGTGACTGGTCTCTTACCTTATTTAGGACTTAAGTGGCCAAGACGTCACAGTGGTGCTGTTGGATTCAGAGGGTGTTGACGCTGCTCTCAATAAAGGTCGTGACGACTATCAGATATTTACTTTAACCGTTCTGTTGGCTTCCGTGCTTATTTATAACTCAAGTGGTGTTCCCACAAGGCGTGATCTCGATAGTTTGCAGTATCCTTGCCATATCAATCACATTTTGTAACATGACCTCAACGGTTGCCAGTAGTGTTACGTGAATAATAGAGGAATAATAATAAAGGAATGCTCTTCCCAAGAAGAAACGTAGAGATGAAGAGATTGAAAGGTGAAAATGTTCAAAATTTGATTTAGGCTCCTTACGGGTTACGACAAATAAAATATGACTTTGATTACTTTGGTCCCAATCAATACTTCTGGATTTTCTTTAATGTCGATTTAGCTTTATCTCTAAGCTGTCTGAACGAATCCATGCAAGATCTAACTGGAAAGAGACTGATAAGAAAAAAGAAGAAGAGTTCTTACACAGAACGTTTCCTTTCTTTATTTGGTTGCTGAGAGATGAAGTGCTCTCCATTCCACGCGACTGCAAAGACATCAAGGATTACTTCTTGAAAAAGGTTAGAATCCAAAACAAGGTCGAGACGCCGTCTCAAAAGGTCGCAAATGAAAGGGATACTAAAGCCAAATAAATGATTCTTTACACAGGTTTTCCGTCAGAATGCTCCCCGAAGTAGGAGTGATGTACCAGATGTAGCCGAAGGCATCTTGAAGTTCTTTCCTGGTTTTAATGCGTTTGCCCTATCCCCTCCTTCAACTGATCCAAATGTGTTAAACAATCCTAACACGAAAAAGGATCAATTACAGCCTCAATTTTTGAGTGAATTAGAGCAGTTTAAGAAGATGATAAAGTCCATGCTAGTCCCAAAACAAAGCAGCACTAAAGGAGAGCTTGTAACTGGAGAAGGTACTTGTTCTTGTTTATATTTGAGTTTTCTACTTTCTCAATCTCTTGCCCGCATAAACACAGGAAACTCAAACTCGAACGAAATCTGTCAATTGGCCTCCTTCTGTGGTATGTAAGCTCAAACGATACAGTGGAAAGTACGATTTTATGAACTTTTTCTTCTTCAACGTTCTTTTAAAATTGCTCAAAAAATACAAATTTAAGGTGAAGGAAATCTCACAAATTACTCCCTTTGGATGCAAAATGTTAAGCTTTCTTATTGGAACTTTTATGTAATATTAATAGGTGTAAGTCTATGGTGTGTCTGTTTGTACTCAAATGCAGCAATGCAGCCACTGATAATACCTCTGAATATATATATTCTATCCTCTCGGTCTCAGTTCCTAATTTGCTTATACTTTTATGTTTTTTTTTAGCTTTCACTTTAAACCAAATTCCTTTGATGCCAATACTACCCAATGCTATCTTACCTTTGCTTCCTTTCACGACGTTAAGACTGTAAATCTTGTCAGACTGTGCAAACTTAAAGGAGCATCACAGTACTGAATACTGAGAACTGAATACTGAGTACTAAGTGTTTGTTGTTTCATAGGTCTTGCCGCCCTGGTCACCCATTACGTTTATAGTACCATCAACACTCCTGATGTGGTTCCAAACGTTCAGGTCGCGTGGGATCTGTTTGTTAAAGACAAGTGTTCAGACACCATAAAGAAATGTCAACAGAAATATAACGAGCTTATGGACTTAAAACTGCCATGTGATAATGCTGAGATACATTTGTGTCACGAATCCGCAATGGAGGAAACTAAAGATCTGTTCATGGCGGAAATGTCTGGCATTTCAACAACCACAGTGGAGAAGCAACTGAGGGAACTGAAGGTGACACCCTTAAGCAGTAGCTAAGACACTGATTTTCGAAGGCCATTTATTTTGCCTTCTTCTTCACAAAGATGATCCATACTGTAAGTCTCTGCCTTGGGGAGACGGTTTCGAATAGTAAATTCATAGCTGAAGGGAGTAAGCTGATACAACATCAGTAATTAGTAGTACTCAAAGGGACTAGTCGCATGATATTAGCTGCAAGAACTTGTTGTAGAGACTTTTTTGGTAATCAGTGTTTACTGACCATTCTAGGCTCTTTTGTTCTCCTGGTAAACCGATGGTGAATTAATACACTCATTAAAGGAAGCAAGATATTAATTTTGTTTGAAAGAAAGAGGTATCCTCTACGTTTCTTCGCAATTTAATATCTTTTAGGATGCTTGATAAAATTATCTTCGATTGAATTGGTTTTTTTTCTTTCTATAATTTCAATTTTAGAGTTTTTTCAAGAAAAGGTTGAACGAATGGAAGACTGAGAATTCAAGGTTAACAAGACAATTCTGTGATGATCTTCTGTTACAACTAAAAACAAAACACCTAGATCCGGTCATTGAGCAGCTTCAAGGAAGAGAAAGTTTAGATTCATTCGATGACATGCTGCACGTTTATCGACAAATCAAAGATGACTACGAAGCAAGCGCATTGGGTGCTAAAGATGCCATTGCTGAGGCGTTCTCCGACTTTCATTCCGTAAGAAGTCCTTATCTTATTCTGATCGTTCTCCAGATATTTAAGATTGATCCCTAAGTTTATATGTTAAACATAGAAACTCCCATTGGTCACCAGTTACTCAGCACTGCTTCACCATCGTTACTTTCAAATGGATAAGCTTGAAAAATGATGTTCTGTACATGTTTGACCTATAATTAAAACTCCGTGGAAATTCTCACGATATTTCCATACTCTTTTACAGAAACTAGCTGCGGATACAAAACAATACCGTGATAAACTGAAACAACTGAAAGATTTTGACCAGAGAGCCGCGAGGGAAATAGCAGCAGCAGTTTTCATAGAGCGGGAAAGGATACGGCTTGAGGTACGTTGTGCACACACAAGAATGGAAATGTGGTTATTAAAAAAAACTTCTTGGACAGATTAAAGACTGAACGACATAAGAGACTGACATGACGGTAAGTTCGTCAATCTCGGTATTGGTGAAAGGTTTTGGAGTTAAGTTATCCACGTATAAATGCGGTACGTTTCCATGACACTTAAATCTGAATGGATACCAATTATGCTTTTATGTTCATTCTGGAGGTATCCTGGATTGCCTTTTCGTAGTTTATTCATGAGTCGAACGATAAGGTATCCAAAGCTGCCTACTTTGTGTTATGTTTTTCAGGAAGTCAACGCTGGTTTGCAGCAGGAAAATCGAACAATGGAAAAGGAGGTATTCATCTTCGTTAGATTTCCTAGTTCCTTTGAGAAAGATGGAAGAAAACAATCGATGTCACAACCTACAAAATAACGAACGCTCCCAGTTTTCACTTTCAACTTTGGACAATAGCAATACACCTTTTTCTCCCTAATGAAATAGTCTCATTTCATCATTGCATAGTAATGAGGAGGGTTGAATTTCGCCAAGAGCAATGTTTTTCAACGCTTTTGAGTTAAGCTAAATTGTTTCCTTTATTTGTTTTCGTTGTGCATTCAGAAATACGATAGTCTTTGTTTCTGTTCTGTTAAGATGCAAATGCTGATTGCCAGATCAGAAAAGGAGAAAGCTGGGCTGCTATTGCTAAAGGAAGAAATGATGAAAAAGGAGCGCGAACAATCGCAGAATATGCAGCAGGCAGGCCTGATAGAAGCCCAGCAGCAAAGGGAAACCTACATCAAAGAAAACCAAGCCCTTGGCGAGCGGCTACTGGAGGTGCAAAATGAAAACGAGGAACAAATGAAAGTGATGAAGAGCATTTCAGAAATGATCGTTGTACACCAAAGGGAGAAAGAGCAGCTTCTTGATCAAAGGGAGACACTTTCACCAGAAGAGTTAACAGAGTCAATGAAGGAGCTAGAAAGAAGGCAATCAGAAGAAGTAAATGCACTACTGATAGAGATGGAAGCTCGTGTGGGTGGCATCAAATCAAGCGGCGGGGAATACTTCAACACCACACTGAAAGACGACGAGGATCTGCCAGACATGATGACTTCGAGGGCACAAATCGCCCGGGATCTACACCAAAGGTTGGCAGAAAACGAAAGAAATCAAAGGGATCTTACAACGGGTGAAATCCTGAAGCAAGTCCTCAAGTTTATGGGAGATGTTGCACCAGTGGTTGGCAAAGTAGTAGCTCTTCATCCAACGTGTTCACCTTATGCTATGCCAGTGGCCTCAGCCGTGGTAAGCATTGCCGAAGCTGCGCAGTCTCTTGACTGCAGTATCATGTAACTATTATCTCCAAGAGATTTCTTGAATACGCTTGCAGAAACAGAACGTGGACTAGAAGTTAAATGATACGAAACTGTATTTGGGATTTCATTAAAGTAACCAGTGAAAATTATATAGGATTAAAACTTTTTAGGGTTTTGCAAAAAAAATTAATGATTTTGATCAAGGATGACGATAACATGATGCCTAAATCGTGTCTTCAATTCTCATTTCGTCAATTCCTCTTTGTGTTGACCGCTGTTCTTGCCCTCCACCCCCCTTTCCCCTATTCCTACCCTAGGCCCCAGTTATTCGAGGGGTAGGTAACTCTCTCCACTAGATAAATCTCTTTCCGGTGGATAGTGCAGTAAGTTTTGTTAACTCTTATCCACTGGAAATCGTGATCGATTTATCAGTTGGATAGCGTTATTCACTCAGGTGTTTAAACAAGATTAGATAAGACTCTGTAAGCTGAAGAAGAGTTCCTCTTGTGATTTGAAAAATGAGAAGAGGAATTATGCATATTTGCATTATGTATGAAAAATATTTTCTTAATAGACATTCTGAACAATCATATCTCCTGCAGGTCAATGAAAACGCACATCTAGTAAGCTCATGAACTTATCAAAATTCAAAAGGCCATAGAATATCAACACATGAACTTATCAAAATTTCTGTTGCAAAAGTCGTAATCTGGTTGCAATCTGTGGCAAGCCTTCAGCCTCGTTAAGAGCAGTTTCAGCTCTCAATCCTTGTAATGCTTGCTGAAAAAAAATTATCTGCGTGGAATTTATTTGTGTATATTGGATAACCCTTCGATCAACTGGCGTTGAAGCGTTTGAGGGAAGTTCATTCTTGTGGCCTGTCTGCTGGGTCGGTGGGAATGTGTGTGCCTTCCATGCTCAGTGGGTTACTCTGATATAGCTCTGATTGGTCAATTGGCTGCCTTTCAAAACTTTTTTAGAGAAAAAAATTAAAATATTTTGGTTCCATAAATTTGCCAAAAATTTTGCTTTATTATTGATTGTAATTTGACCAAATACTATTTGAACAACCAGTGAATTTCATATTTTTTCTATTTAGCACTTTTAAGATAAAATGTTTAAGGTCTTAGGTTTTTATTTTTACTGAATGTAGTGTTTGTATGATCAGTTCTAAGTTAAAGATTCAAAATTCAGTATTATTCATTTATTCATGTTTGAATACAGCAATTTTAATAACTGTATTTTCAAATCATATAATTCCATTAGAAAATAAGACCTTTTTTTAACTAACTAGCTAACTAACTTTTTGGCACTGGAGCAGCTTCAAAGAATGATTCTTTAATAAATAACTGTCAGATCAGTGAAAAAAAAACCTGAGTCCTTTTGTAAATAAAAAAAGGCCTTATTTAATTATATTTAGGCTTTTTATGCTCACAAAGTTTGTTTTCAGGCCAGTTAACTGTACATTGTCTATGATATACATGTCTAATTTCACCTAACTTTGTATATTTACAAGCGTGACATTCTTCAAGCTGTCACAGCGGTTACCACTGATAAACTTTCATGATCATAAGCCTTCTTTCAACTCATGCTTTAGGCAGATTAAAATTTGAAAATTGATAATAAAATACAAAACTGAAAAAGAAAAACATGTTTCTTTGGTCCTTCTTGGAAGATGATTCAACTTGTCAAGGCATTTGAAGCCATATTTGTTCATATTGTTGACACATTTGGCACTGCTGCAATCTGGGGCAGATCATGATAATATTTCGTGACAAAATATTATAGACATTGAAAGAGACGTTACCCCCAAACTACCAGTTTACGTAGAATAAGCCATTGTCGTTTCAATTATTCGTTTCCCAATGCCCAACCGGCCTATCATTTTTAAAAAAAATGAAATGATTTGTGCAAACCTGCAGTGCATATCTCGATACAAGTATTTAGTGTTTCCTTTTTCGCTTTTTAGGTATATAAGTATATAACACCCAGATGTATGTGGTGACCCTACACAAATTTCGTCAACGCAATAATCGAATGTCTCAGATGAACTAGGAGTGTTCTTATTTGAGTTTTAGGGAAAGCAGTATGCAAACCTCCAACGTTAAAATGTGAGGAAAGCTTTCGAACTTCTACATTTGTTATGTTCAGCCATCCAGTTGCAAGACTATCCGTAAGGTGCCTCTTTCTGTAGCATGTCAAAACAGTCCATGAGTGCTCCATAGCCTAGCTGGCAAAAAGCACAAGACATTGTTCTGGTAAAAGGATGCCAATATCGAGATGCATAGACTACAGAGACTAATATTTATCAACATCATAAACCAACTCGAGTTGCGTGACATGATTTAGTAAAAGACTTCCGTTTCGCAGGCCGGTGTGTACTGGGTACGAGGTAAGTATTTATTTCCTAGAAAAACTTAGAGTTCGGAATTCACATACGACTTTGTAAAGCTATACGGAGCGTTGGAACTATATCTGTCGGATTGTTTGTTGTCCGGTGGTCGGTAACTTAGTCATAGTTAAAGTAAATACCTTTTTATCGACTCCACTTGAAGCTGTCCCTGACTGCCTACGCTAAGTATCGCTAGTCACAGAACACGAACATAGTAACCATTGGAGAGTCGCTCGATTCACGGTAAGGGAACCAGTGCTGAATATGAGCTGTCTTTCAGTTTCTTTACACCGACAAAAAGCGTTTACTTAAATGTGAGTGATAGCAAAGTGCACAAAGTAATTTTTGTGAAAGCTTTCTGCCACAGAAGTCAAACAGGATAAAAATAACCGAGGAAAAGTGGGGTAGATATTGATTTATCAAGAAGTATTTGAATCAGGCACGAATTCCGAAAAGACGAAATGGAATACTTTTATTGCTATACAGCTTACTACAGTGCTATTTTAAAGTAAATAATCTGTTACTGAAAGGTAACTTTGAGTTATCACTTATCTTTCCAACGCCGTAAAAGAAATGGCGAATCTACTTTTGCTTTCAATTTTCCTTCCGGTCTCTTCATTTCTTCGGGCGGTGATTTGTTTGTTTGAGTTGATCGGTATTCTCCGTAGGCTGAATCGTCACATATACCATGACAGGGTTCTTGGAACAACACCTCAAGAATTATTTTCTCTAAAACTGAGTTTTGATCTCAAAACTTGTCAATCCTCGAGGCCGTGTCACAAGTGTTCGTGTTTGTCAGGAGATCGATTGAACAGCAGTTTCTTATTGCGTTATGGTAAATATTATACCAGACTGTGCCACAAGAAAGAACCTCGAATGACTTTCAGCTGAAAGTGTGATGTTTATATGTAATCCTACAGGTTGGAGACAAAGAAATTACAATTTTCTATCTTTTAATTTTTTTCAGAATTTTTCTTAGAACTTTCAGAGTTAATCTGTTAAACTAGCAGCGTGACTCTTTCTGCGTTAATGAAGCAACCTCAGAGTCGGTCACATATTTGCCAAATGTTATCGTTTCCAAAAAGCTTCTTGAAGTTAGCAGTATTTTCTTACGTATAGGCCAAAAAATTCGGGAAAAATATATTTCCAATTTAATTGAGATAAAAATTCATTTGATGTCGTAAACAGAGTAACGCAACAATTAGCGGCCAGAACGACAAAAATATCCTACAGCTGATGTAACCAGAAAAAGGTAAAAGAAGCATATCGTCAATAACGAAAGAAAATACAAGATATGATGATAGGAAAATTTATATGTACAAGATCATCCATTGCGTGGCTGATAAGTGTACATCTGCTTTACACAAAGCGTTAACTTTGATCACAGGAGGTAAACATTTCTGAGAATTTGTATTTTCCTGTGAATTGATAACGATTGCTGTCGTTGAAAGCTAAGAAATGCTGCTACTCGATTGACTGATGTTTTTATCTAGCTTTTTCACTCAGATTTTGTGGATTTTCTTTTCAGCCGGGTATTTTACATCTCTATCAATACCTCAAGCTTTCCTTCCCCACTATTTGATAATCAAGTTGTGTGAAATTTAAAAAAAATTGGATTGCGTTAAGATTCATAATTTTCGTTACGCTTCGATCGATTCAATTTTACTTGGGGAACTGGACGCGTTTCTCCCTTTTTGTTTTAGTGTTTAAACAGTGGAGATAGTTCGTGGAAAGAAAGCTCGTCAAAGAAGTGAAAGGGGAAGATAAAGATGGCGGTAAGCGTTCATTTGTTGCAATTAATGTATACACAGAAAAAAATTAACTTTGATAAGTGCAGTGGAGCAAACACTTTTGGCCACTAATGACACAAGTTAATTTTTCAAAAGACTGTATCTGTAATGGTGTATGTCACACTGAAGGCAACTTCGTGCAGTGTTGTCTTTCGCGCGAGTCTCACGAAAAGAAATATTATTAGTTAGCGATGTGCCTCGGAAATAGTGTTTCCATTGTTCGTATATGTTGTTTATCAGTTGCATATGTGATAATTTTGAATACCTTGAACTATGACAACATGATCGTAATTGGCAAATGCGAAAGAATGAGCTGAAACTCTCCTGCAGCAGTATTGCATTTTTGGTCAATCACGAGACAGTCATCTTTCATGATGAAAGGTGACTATTTAGTTAGTTTGCCGGCTTTTCTTTATCTGTTATCGCTATTTTGATCTGCAGTCATGGAGTGCATACCAGACTGAAAGTGAAGAAGAAGCTTTAGCCAAGGCAATGCAACTTTCGCTTATGGAAGATGAAAAATCGTCAAGAAAAGCGGTGAGTACAACTGTTGAACATGCAGCATTACTTCCACATTATTTTATAGGCCAAAGTTCATTCTACCATCTTTAATGGTTGTTCCCTGCATTTTTTCAAATGACACAAAGTTAGTTGTTATTGGAAAGATGTGTTGAAGTTATTTACCTAAACGAATGCCAAATTTTCAATGGCCAGCCTAGCTAAGGTTTTGGTCGCAAAACTTGATGTCAAGGGAGTGTTGACAGAATTGATCACAAGAGCTATCCTTATCCACAGTCTTATTTGAAACCACACCACTCCTCATACAGAGGGGGCCAGAGTGCAGATGGATTATATCGGTATCCTAGGTATATCACCGCCTTAAATTTATCTATATTTAATCGATCTTTGAGTTTTGAGTTATCACTGGCTGTTGAGGTTTAGAGAGATAATTCTCATGTGGCTGTGTTTGTGTTGACAGGAGTTCCCGATTCACATCGGCGAAGAGACACCAGATGGCAGACTATCATCGAGAGAAGCCCCATCGTCATCCTCTTCTTCTCATCAAAGACAACCCCAGAGAGAGGAGGCACGCCTTTTAAAAAGTGCTCACGGAGGTATGTAATGTATTATAATTAACATTTATCATGAACACTCAAATTTGCAACGTAATGAAGACAACTTTAGTGTTTTTTTATTTGGTCTTGAATAATGATTATTAATTATATTGGTTGAAGCTTGACACTTTTTTAAAAAGCTTTCCAACTTTAAAAGGACTTTATTAAGGCACGAATAGGGATTTTTAGGCTTCACACAACAAGAAAATTTAGGTTCCCATGGGGAATCGAACCCCAGTAAATTTAACAAGTCAACAGTGGTTTAGCGTGTTCTGTACTCTTATCGAAAACGATATTAATCATCACACTGGTCAAAATTTTGTGGACACACGAAGCGCAGCCACAAATCGACGTCAAATGAAACGATTCTTTCAGTTCGTTACCATTGCGTGACACGTTGACGCCAACAGCGTTCTCTGTACTCTTATCGATAACGGCAAATTGGCCAATCGAATTCTTACATTACTGCCATTTGTGGAAAAACGACATTTTACTGTGTTTCTTTTTCTGCTGTGAATTTTGGAAATAATTACGCCAGCCACTCTCGTAGAGAAACAAATATGAACGAAAATAATGTTATTTTTGTTAGTAGGTCACTCAGCTGGAGCACTCCCACTCTGTCTTCCTAATAACTATCAGTGGAACTCTAAAACTCGCCAATGCGTTAAAACAGAGGAGAAGCGTTCTTCATTGTACTTTGTTGAAGACAGCCTTCGGGAACTGAGGAAAATTAAAAGTACGGGTCTGTTCTCTATCTCAGATAAGAAATACCCCAAAATTTAAAATAACCAGAGGAAAAGGGGAGGGCGCTGTGCCTGTTACCTGCAAGTCGTTCTGCTGCGAGTCTCACTATAGACTACAACTTTTGCCTAATTCTGTCGAAACTCCCCGCCCCCTCTCAATCAGGTTGAGAGGTTTTTTACTTCAGGAGGTCCAATTTTCCTGTTAACAACAAGGAAAACCTTCAAAAAAAAGGGGAAAGGAGGAAATGTTTGAAACATTGTGACGAAGATTATAAGTTCTATTGTGAAAAATATTTACTACCAGGATTTAAGAATAAAGATAGAAGAACGACAAATTAGACCTTGAAACAAATAAAGCATACATGAATGAATGTAAAAGCTGATAATAAGTTTGATAATGACGATGGCGATGATGACGATGGAATAATGAACTTTTAACGGCAAAACAATTCTCTGGTCTGTTTACCAAAAAGAAGAAATATGCAACTAACCTTGTAGCAATAAAAATAATTATTAAACTAATGTTAATAATAACATTAATTAGACCTAAAACGATAATGATAAAAATGATGATGATGGTAATAAAGCATTTGCTTGTTTAGCTTGTGCTATATCAATGACTCTCAGCGAGGGGCAAGGAAGATGTACTTATTTTAACCGATAGTAATCTGATTATATATAAATACCATTAAGGTTTAGATTTCCTTAATTGCTCTTTAGCTTTATTTGAAAGATTTCTGGACGAATAATAACATTAATTAGACGTAAAACGATAATGATAATAATGATAAAACCGATGATAATGATAACAAAAATTTGCATGTTTAGTTTATTTATTTTGAACTTAAGTGCAAGTTAGGTTGATAAGTGACATATGCTTGTTTAATTCTTTCAATCCGATAAATTAATACCGGCTAATGTGGTATTTTGTGGTTTACACTACCAAGTCTTTTTTCAATCATAAAATTAATTGGTCCTTGCCCTCTGTTATGGTACAACAGGCCCAGTCTGCACCGTGTCCATCGCTGGTCCGTACAGAAAAGGAAAGTCTTACATTTTAAGCCAAATCTTTGATCAACCGGAGGTATTCCCACTTGGGCACAAAATGGTGGCGGAGACCATGGGAATCTGGATGTGGATCGTGCCTGAGAAATATAAGGTGTGAGCCATAACCTTTGCTTTGGTAATTGAGTGAATCTTCCTTATAAAATTAACTATACATGTACTTAGGTTGCAATGTTTAGATTATTCTGCTTGTGAAACCTAGACTGTGTGTCGAAACAAGGAACCTCTTGAAGTGGATTACACCACCCTATTAAGGGCAGCTGAATTTTCCTGAGAAAAAGCACGTAGATGGGTAGAATTAACGGTAGACATTGCAAACGTTAGCTAGATGCGAAGACTTAATGTGGTCTCAGGAACATTTCCTGTACCTTTATTTTCTCTACAAAACACATGATGGTCATATACACGGCACTTTTTTCGCTTTGTTGCTGAAGTTTTGTAAAGGATCGGTGAGATTTGTAAAGTTTGATATGCCACCTATAGCATAATTCAATTTTTTTTTCTTCAGAAATTCTGAATAACCAGTCTAGTCACAGCTGATCAGTAGGAAATTAGACTGATTGTTCAAATCGAAAAGACCCAAAATCCATTATCCAATTAATCGCCCTCCTTCTCCCTAACCCTATCCTCAGTTGTGAAGTCTCGCTCTTGATGCATGTCGGACACCAAAAGGCAGTTGCGCTAGCTTGCACGTCGTAACATAGCTAATGATTTTCTTTGCCGCATCCTGAAGCTTTTTGGAATTTTTATGATCTAGGACGCAAGGGGCAGGGAGATTACAGTAGTGCTGTTGGATTCAGAAGGGATTGACGCTGCCTCCGGTGTAGGCCGTGACGATAATCAGATATTTACTTTAACTGTTCTTTTGGCCTCCGTGCTCATTTATAACTCAAGCAGTGTCCCCACAAGGCGTGATCTCGAGGGTCTCGAGTATCCTTGCTATATCAAACTTTTAATTGTCTAATTACTACAGGTGTTGCCAATAATACGCGCTCTGTGCATTCTTTGTTTTTTTTTTTCTTGCGTCCAAAAACTTCTAGTTCGCTTCTGGGACAAAAATCCTGGTACGTGATGTACGATTACTGATAGCAATAGAGCAGTATTCAATAAGTGTCGAAAATGGAAATGCATGGTTCTTGCCATACTACTGTCTGTGATTGTTCCAAAACAACCGCGCCAAAATCTCAACCGATCAGATTCAAAACCAAAACCCGTCACGACTGAGTCACCCGTTTCTTTATCGCGCTTCATGCTGTTTGCTTGTTCTTACTTTGAGTTCTCATTAGCTCCTTTCTCCTTTGTTCAGATTACCGCATTATTATTCTGCGTTTGGTCATAAGACACTGAAATGTGTTGTGCTATATCATTATCTCTCAACGAGGGGCAGAGAAGGTGTACTTATTTTAAACGTTAGTATTCTTATTATATATAAATGTCATTAAAGTTGAGATTTCCTTAATTTCTCTTTAGCTTTATTTCAAAGCTTTCTGGACGAATTCACGCGCGATCCGACAGGGGAGCGACTCTTCACCAAAACGAGACAGAATTCTTTCACAGAACGTTTCCTTTCTTTATTTGGTTGCTGAGGGATGTAACGCAAGCTGTGCCAGAAGATTGTAAGGACATAAAGGATTACTTTTTGAAAAAGATTAGAATCCAAACCGTTTAAAATTATCACGATTTAGATATAACTATCGATTGAACTTCGTGTTCAGAATTGTGAACTTACTTGGGTAGTTATCGAAAAATTCGTTTTTTTTAACTTGAGTTCTTTGAAAAGCACAGATTTGTCTCACTACTTGATATACAAATTTAGTTTGTTTCATTACTCATTTTCCGAGTACAGGTGTTAATGGCCATTTTGACTTATGTATTTATCGATTTTGGCCTCTCATGGAGGATATTCCTCATATCTGGTATCTACATATTATTAACAATGGACGAGAATAGTTCAATTCCCAAATATTGTCACCACAGCATCCGATGGGTGGAGATTGGTACTCGTATGATTAACTTTGTGGTGAATATTACTTTCCTAGAATGTAATTAGTTTGATAGATTGTTAATTGATAATTGCTTCACACAGGTTTTCCGTCAGGAGGATTCCGGAAGTGAGAGTCAGAAGAGTCAGAAGGTGGCTGAGGGCATCTTAGGATTCTTTCCTGGTTTTGAAGCGTTTTCCCTACCTCCTCCTACAGCTGATGAAGAGATAATGAGAACTATCTGCGAGAATAAGGATCAGTTACAGGCAAAATTTTTGCGCCAATTGGAGGACTTTAAATACTTGATTAAGTCCATACTGGTCCCAAAACACAGTTACACTGAAGGAGAGCTCGTCACTGGGGAAGGTACGTGTTTTTATACGCCTTTGTTTCTTTGCTTTAGAAATGTTTAACAATAATAACGTGTCTCATTAAAAACAGTGAATGGAATAAGTTGGGGTCATATTGGATTCATGAATGAAAACTGTAATAGTTGCCAAATGAAGGGAACAGCAATGAAAGTACTTATTGACAAACCAATGATTGCTTTGTCGTAGGTCTAGCCGCTTTGGTAACCCAGTACGTTGATGCAATCAACACCCCTGGCTTTGTGCCCAATGTACAAGGTGCTTGGGACCTGTTTGTAGAAACAAAATGTTTTGAAACCAAAAAAGTTTGCGAGCAGAAATATGACGAGCTTATGACCTTACAACTGTCTGAAGTTTTGCCATGTGATAATGACGAAATACGTGCCTATCACAACTCCGCACTGGAGGAAACTGAAGAACTGCTCTTGAGGGAGATGATCGGCATTTCAACGAATACTGTAGAGAAGCAACTGAGGCAACTTAAGGTGAAGCTCCTCAGCTTTAACTATGACTATAAGATACAGGCTTAAGACGTATTTATAATTAGCATCAGTAGCTCCCTTATCCAAGTCAATGCTTGGGGGGAGGTGGGGGGCAGGCCAATATCACTTGACTCTTCTGTCTCAAGTTCATTGAGCAGTTTCCTCGCAAGGGGAAAATTGTAACCTTACGGGAGAAGTGTGGTATTTAGGTAATTTACACAAAAGTCACCTGAACTTGGCTGCAGGGACTTGCTGTGAGGGTAATGTAAGCCAACTTTGCTTAGCAATCTTGTTAAGCCTTCACCTCCCATGAGTCACAAGGGGAGAATTTCTCCTTACAATATCAATATATTATCAAGCAGACAAGCGATGAGAATAAAGTAAAATATCAATTAGGGGATTATTGCTCAATGCAATACCAAATTTTCCAAATTGACATCAGAAGAATTGTGTGATAGACAGTAAGGAGAATTACTAATGAGATCTTGGAAATTGGAGGGTTAAGCCAGTAGTGAACTTATTCCAGGAGTCAGTCTTTTTAAACAATGTAACGATTTCCCTCGCATTGTAATATATATTGGGTTGCTTTAGAGGTGTGCATTCTCTACCTTTAAACTTAATTTTTAATTGTTTTATTTTTTCTTCATACGATGTAATTTCAGACGTCCTTCAGCCGACGGTTGAACGTGTGGCAGACGAAGAATTCAAAATTAACGAAACAGTTATGTGAAAATCTTCTGTTGAAACTAAAAGCAAAACACTTAGATCCAGTCATCGAGCAGCTGCAGGAAGAGATGGCTCGAAATTATCATTTGATGACATCCTGAGAGTTTACCGACATATCAAAGACGACTACGATGTAAAAGCAAAGGGTGCTAAAGATGCCATTGCTGATGCGTTTGCCGATTTTCATCCCGTAAGAAAACATTATTTCCAATTATTAGTTTGTTGATGCAGATTCATATCCTGAATGGAAATAAGGGCATTTTCTCCACTTCAAAGAAGAGCCAAATTGACGGATATTGTACCGACTGCAAAGTAAAACAAAAATTTTTCAAACGAATGTTGAAATTTATTCATTTTAATGGAATGCCTGTTGGTGAACAGCTACCAAATTCTGCTTTACACCAAGGCCACTTAAAAAGACCGAGATTGACAAATCATCATAACGTTAGTATGGGCTGCTTTTTAAAAACGAATACTGTTTGGCACTTCCAAATTTTTTTTTTGAACTTGCAGAAAATGTTTTGGACCTGATCTGATCAAAAGTGTATGGTTTTTCATTGAAATACAAGTTCATGCTGTGTTATGTTATATGCCAAATTGTTCTTCGACATTTAAGAGGTTTCTTATTTCCGGATGGGAGCTGAACGTTACAGGCGATGTGCGCATCTCAACTAATCGATGTTCTTCTGCTATATATTTTACTAATTCCCTCCTAGAAAATAGCAGCGGAAACAAAGCAATACATTAGTGTCCTAAGGCAGCTAAAAGATTTCGACGAACGTGCAGCGAAAGACCTGGCAGCCAAAGCTTACATGGAGAGGGAAAGGAGACGACTTGAGGTAAGTTAGTGGGATGATAATATTGCGGAAAAGTCAGTATGGTGAGACTAGCGTTTAAAAAGGGTCGAAATGCTCCGATGGACTGAATAAAACCCGACAGAAATGCAAAGCCTAACAGTAGTTACTTGAGACTGGGCGGTGAGTTGTGCGTGCTCCTATAAAACTAACCTTACGGTTGACTGCGACAAACTAAACTTTGTTTCTGTTACGTTTTTTTTTTTTCAGGAAGAGCGGATTCGCTTAGAGCAAGAAAATCAAGAACAAGAGAAGGAGGTATACCGTCTTTTTAGCTTAGTTTTAATATATCATTGTTTACTTAATACGTTATAAATATGTTGTTATTTAAAGGGAGAAAAATAACAAATAGTTACAATTTTGAGTAATTTTATCGCGAAATGCAAAAGAACTGACTTTCAAAGTACTGGCTCTTCACCATCCCCTCTTTCGTAGTTGGAAAATATTATAATGCATCCATCTTTTCTCCGAAAATAAAGTCCTTGGTCAGCGCTGCATATATCAGGATTGGTCAACAAGGAGTGACCATGTTTGAGACTTTTACCTTAACTTTCCTCGTTAGTACACTTAGCAGTAAGATCGTCTTTTTCTGTTTGCTAAGATGATAATGCTGATTACCAGATCAGAAGAAGAAAGAGCTGGAATGCGAGAGGAAATGAGAAATGAGATGGAACTGGAGCAAGGACAATTGCAGAATATGAGGGAGGCAGGCTTAGGGGAAGCTGAGCTGAAACGAGATGCTTTCATCCAAGAGAAACATGTCCTAGAGGAGCGGTTACTGCAAATGCAAAAGAAAAACGAGGAACATATGAAGATGATGAAAAGGTTGTCAGAAATGATCGCCAAACACCAAAGGGAGAAAATAGAGCTTCGTGAACGAATAAAAGAACGTCCTCAGGGAGAGATCGAAGAGTCCTTGAAGGAACTAAGACGAAGGCAATCAGAAGAGGAAAATGAACTCCTAAAGAAGATGGATAGTCTTCAACACGACAACCTTTTAAGAGGAAAAGAAGATTTTTGCGCCGAAACGAAAGATGACGAATGTGCCAAGAAGCTGGAGGAGGTTCCTGAGATGATGGCCTCGAGGGCTCAAATGGTTGGCGATCTAAGGAAAAGAATGGAAGAAAACGAAGAAGAGCAAGAATCACTTGTCAAGATGGTCCTTCGTGGTATAGCAAACGTTAGTCCTGCGGTTGGGAAATTAATGGCCCTTTATCCTCCAGCGCAACCTTACGCTGAAGCAGTCGGCAACGGTATCGCTGATTTTGCTGATGCTTTGTCGAAAGTTGACTGCCTTATCATGTGATGAAGAACACCGCAGTTGCTACCGGACATGAAATGTGTCTTACATTTTATAGAAAAATGTTTTTGGTAATTTTACTAATCACCACTTAACCGTAGGCATAGCTGATATATAAACGATTAGCTAGACCTTTTACTGTCAAGTCCGAGAGGGGTTCTCATCCTTAAAACATGGCCCCTTTTCCGTCGCAATGTTTCATCAGCTTCAAATGTGTAACAGCGAAACTTAAATTGCTTATTTTGCAATTGCGGGAAATTTCGCTGTGGCAACTAAACTTGAGTCAGTAAAGTCCAATAAGGATTACATTTGTATTTATTTTTTATTGACTTATTCGTATTACTAGCCTTTTATCATTCCCAAAATGTTTGAGACAACAAGAAAAGGATATACGCTGTGGCTTGCGGTGATACTCTGTTGTATCTTGAGACTAAGCTTAAGCCGTATCCTGTAAAAATGAAGAAAAATATTTTTCCGTAAGATTATGAAGCCCATTCTAATGTGAGATTCATGAAAGATGCACACCGTTCATAGGCCCATGTCCATGAAAATATGTTAAGGGCCGACCCAAATAGCTTTTCTTGTCTAAAGTGTAAAGTTATCACTGGAATATTATTGTAGAAGAGGCAAACGCTGTGCTTTGAACGAGCAAATTTATTTTTCGTCTCAAGGTGACTGAAATTTTTTGCTAACGATTAATTCTGGGATTTTACAATCAAACAGTAGATTAAAAACAAAGGAGGAGAAGTAATATTACCAAATTTAATTCCTTATTGAAAAAACCTTTTTCCACCTTCCCCCCTGCCTACTCCCTTGCCTTTATTATATGGCTAAGGTTTTAATTACCACTTTTCCGGCGGAGTTTTATTTTTTTGCACGATGAATTCCGGCAGGTTTTTATTAACTTTATGCAAGAGGTATGCTAAGTCAGAAAGAACCATTAATATTGGAAATTTTGGGGTTTAACGAATAATTTGACCTTATAGTCAACAATCAGTCACTGTCAGACTTAAATCTTCTATGTTTCGGCAGTGAAATTGTTAGTTACCTAAATTTATGTCCGGTACCAGTACGTTCTGCTTTCTCAGGAGCACCTAGCCTCGCAAGCCTCTATAGTTTTGAAGTTGTTTTCATTTCCTAGGCACCCTCCATAAATGAACACTTTGCACTCCCCAACTGCCGGATCAAAATAGTAGCGGGGCATATATGCCCTGCATGGACCCGCATCTGGTGTTAGCCGACAGATGTCCTGGGCTTGCACCAAGACTGAAAAAAAAATGTGTGAAAAAAAAGAAAATATTACTTTCTGAAATATCATAAACAATCTTATAGCCATGTTTAGGAATTCAGGCTCCTAATGAATGCTTTCTTTTATAAATTCCCCTTTTCCTTTTAACAGCAGCATAATTTTTCATTTAGGACACAGAATTGTCCATGTTGTTCTTCAATAGGTCGTGAAAGTGGACTCACCACGGCAATGTTATGTATTAGAGCTTGGTAGTGACGTGATAACGGTAGCGATTCAAAACAAAACATGCTTCTATTCAAAAGAGATCTATCAATTTCTGTTTTTATCAAAACTATATCAAAATTCTCGAACGTGATTGGTTAACACCAGTCCAATTTGAGCACTAATAGGACAGTGTACGCCTCATGCTTATAATTGGAAAGTGTAATAGGACAGTTAAAGAGACAGTTAACACGTCATGCCTGTGTAAGGGAAGAACACGTCACGTGCGTGTGCTATTGTCTCGTATTTTGCCGGGCTAACTCGTAATTAACAAATCGGACTCCCGCTTCGCGGTCGTCCGATTTTGTTAATCACTGGTATGGACTCCACTCAGTCCTATTACCATTGTCAATATTGTAAGTCAATCAACGATATGCATTAGCCATCCATATTTAGTTATTTATTGACGATAAGCCGGAGGAAAAATCGGCCTCGCAAGGAGAAGTTTAAATTGGCTCCACTCTCCCTTCACCAATAGGCCCAAAGAATCAGCACGCAAGGGAAATTTTTGAGCGTTCGTTGTGCTGCAAAAAATTTAACAGTGGTGTCAAAATGAATAAAACCATCTAATGGTTTTCTCGACTTATTTTTCCAAAATGGAACTGATATTCTCATACAGACAATGTAATGAAGTCTTTCCAATCGTTCTGGCACCTCTATTAAAAGCCGGATAAATTCAACTAAATCGTTAGTGCTTTTAGAGACATTAATCTACTTACCAGAGCTGATGAGAATGAAGATGAGCAAAATTTTCTTGTCCATTATGTAATGTTTATCAAGCAAAATCTTTGAAGAAAGCACAAAACAGAAGAGTTATCAAATAATATACGCGTTCTGATTGGTTCATCACGTACCTACCCATTTGCTGGGGGATGCAAGACACTCTTACCAAAATAAAAATTAAAATAAGGGAAAAGCTCACATGTGCGCCTTTTTAACTAGTGAATTGTGCGCATGCGTAGGAGCGAGTTGTAGATATGATGTGGAGAATGGCACTCGCTCGCTCGCTCGCTCGATTTCTGTAAACTTTTTTTCGGTTTTAGGCTTCTGAGTGCATTTGGTAGTTTTTGGCGAGTAATAAACAAACGAAATGGCAACCTTTGTTGCTAAGAATAGTGGTGCAGTGAAAAAAAAGCCAGTGATAATCTTAAAAGAGTTAATTTTTTTCGTTTTAGTTTCAACAAGCGGCACTAGCGACTGGCAGGCGTGCGAGGATTTACACTGAATTAAGAGAACAACCTTCGTTTTTCACAAAATTGCAGTTTACAATTCTTGAACCTAAAAACAATCCGAAGATTCATTAAAAATATCACTTACTCCGAAGCGCTCGGAGTTTACAGGTGTTCAAAAGCTTTTTCTGTTATGGCGTGAGATTGGGGACAAAATCGATCATTATATTTCGTATCGTGTGTTTTTCTGTGTGAGCAACAAAAGGTGCCGGCGACTGACGAACAGGTTAACACGAAAGTCAAATAACACATAAACAAATCATTTTGGCTACCGATTTTCAGTGAATTTTTAAAGAACAATTTTCTTTTAAGTTTCAAGACAATTTGAGGATTCAAAATAAATATTACGTACTAAAATGCGAAAATTATACACCAAAAAATTGATAAATAGGCCTGAAATGAAATTCTATCTTGTTCTTGATTATGTGTTGCTTAGCACATGACCAAAATCTACCCAGGCGGAAATCCAAAATGACGGTGGCAGTCTGGGCTTATCACTCAAAACTCGTTCCCGTTTGTCCCATATGATAAAGAGAGAATCATTAATGTTTTCATCGGGAAAATATTGCCTTGATTTTCCAATATTTACATTGATAGACAGTAAATTTCACTTTTCACCCACATTTACTTCCAACATTTTCTTTTGAACCAGAAACAAAATTGATGTATGTTTAAAACACATGACATCATCCACCCTTGCCAAATGTAATAGCATGATCATTTCAGTTGTAATGCCTTCTTATCCCAACGTTACTTTGTTTCTTTGCTATATTAGCAAACACTGAATTACTGCTCGTACTCTAAATATGACAATAAACCAAAAAATTCCCTAAACCAGATAACATTAAACATAATCCAAAAAATCATGTAAGTCATCTGTCAATTCACGAGTTTGCTCACAGAGCACTTCGATTTTTAAATCCGTACTATGTTCATATACTTAAAGCAATGCTTTAAGCTGCAAACGTTTTCATACCTATAAGAGGTAAATAAATCTAAAGAAGTTATGAGGCAAAGTTAACCACACCCACACCAAAACAAATTTTTTAAATTGCCTCAGAATCGTACGATTATACAAGACAAAATCTAAAATATAGAGGTAGTTGTGCGATTTACTAAATTTTAAAGATGTAGAAACGAAGACAGTACGACTTACTGCTCTTGAAAGAACTCTCTTCCTTCAGTATCTTGACTTGAAGCAATAAATGAACGTGAACGTGCAGCTGTGGCTCTCTGTGCAGAGGTAAATTGGATGGGTGGAATCATCTCCTTATATAGCCCATTTCACTTCTAAGATCTAATTAATTATTCTCCCTTAAGTCAGGCATACATTTCCTTCAAGAAACGATGAAAGAATTTGAGGTTATATCGAGATGAAATCTTTCAGGCGAGAAAGTGTTTCTTTATTCTCATCTTCTATTTACTGGATAATGTATTTGAGTTGCAAGGAGAATTTGCATGTTTATCACTGCAGAGCATAGACATGACTTCAATTAAGGGGATCTTGTTATCAGACGTGACCTTGGAGATGATATCTTTATATTCCATTAAAAAAAAGATCACAATATTCGCAGCGGGATTGTCTAGCCAATAAACATATCTGAAATTAAACCAATGTTTTATGGAACGTAGCCTCTCATGTTAGAAATCGCTGCATTGTTCCCTGATGGTTCACAGGTTAGTTATTTGTGCGCCATTACAATCTACATATCTTCGACAAAGGATTAAAACTTTCCTTACATGTCTTGGATAAAAGATACTCACCTAGCTGAGTACTGATTAATTTGATATTGAAAATTTTAAATTTTTTATTAGTTTTTTAATAAATTTTTAAAAAATAATTTAAATCATTTTTTTCAATAAAGCAATTCTTAAATAAAAAATAGCGACAGAGATGGCAGCAGATGGCGGACGAGAAGCAAGTTTGCAAGCTGCCCGTAAACAGCCTAAAAACAGCGAGTAAAAGGGATAAGAATAGAGGACATTTTGGGGAACAGTAGTAACAGGAGCAAGCGACGAGGCCAAAACCTGCAAAACTGTTTTTCAAAGTGAATGGTCGCAATCCACGAAAATAATTAACCAGCGGCGTGGCGGATCGAAGACAATCAAAACCCAGACAAAAATGGATAGACCAAATGAATACCGACTTATTGTGATGCAAACGAGAAGCACTGGCCATGACACAGATGGACCAGCCTCCGCTTGATAGCAATCGTAGGAGAAAAGGCTATATTAAAATTAGGAAAGAGTTATGAGACGCGAAAGGCTACGATGGCTTTGGATTCTCAATTCAGAACTTACGCGATCAAGCAGCAAGACTCGACAAAGCGACGATCAGAGCTTAGATAATATAGCAATGACTTATTAACCCGAGACACATGTAACCAATTCTTCCCAAGAAACTTTTGTTTCTTTGAATGGTTACACGGGAGCGAATTTAGAATTGCACACCACGGATTTATTCAATCGCGAAGAAATAGATATTGAACATCAAACCAAGATTTTCATATGACTAGTAATACTCATAACTTCCCATGGGATGAGAAGACAGAGTGAAACGAAAAAAATGCTATGCTTAGATGCCTTCCAGAGTATAACACTGCAAACAAACCATTTATTATTAGGGGGAAACTATCTGTCGCACTTCAAAAGCCAAGCCCTAAAGTCTGAAGTCAAACACCATCAAGAAGTGCTATCTAAACGTCTTGTTCTCTGGAAGGATGACGAGGTCGAGAAGTTATTACGCGATGAGAGGACTATTCAAAGTCGCATTGGAAAACTCAAGTCTTTGGACCCGCCTAATAGATCGAAGGTCTTTGCTAAGCTAGTGCTAATTTTAAAAATAATGTTTAAATTATTTTTCTTAATTTTTTTTGAAATTATTTTTTAATTTTCTTTTAACAATTTTTGAAATTATTTTTTCGTTATCATTTTTAATTATTTTTCTTAAATATTTTTTTTGGATTTTTTTTTTTAATTTTCTTCAACAATTTTTTAATTATTATT